TAATTACTTTATGATCAACACCTTATTACCCTTGAAAACAGATTATTATTTTTTTTTAATTGGAGTCTCCCATTCTGTCACCCAGGCTGGAGTGCAGTGGCATGCTTATGGCTACTGCAGCCTCCACCTGCTGGGCTCGGGTGATCCTTTTACCTCAGCCTTCCAAGTAGCTGGAACTACAGGTGAGCGCCACCATGCCCGGCTAATTGTTTGATTTATTGCAGAGACAAAGTCTTGCCAAATTGCCCAGGCTGGTTTCGAACCCCTGGGCTCAGGCAATCCTCTTGCCTTGACCTCCCAAAGTGCTGGGATTATAGAAGTGAGCTACCACACCTGGCCAAAAACAGATTCTTAAAACAATTAATATCACTTATATTCAGTGGCAATAATAATAATTTTCTATATTTCCTTGTAAAGATTAGTGGGAAATACTGGCTCAAATATATTGCACATAAAATAATTTGGTAATAATATTATTTGAAATTTTGATTTCTAATTTGAAAAATAGAAAAGTTTTGTTAGAAAGCTTATTATAAGTAGAACTTGCATTGTACTCTAGATGTAAAGGAAACTTACAAGCCTGTAGTTGAGTTTTGGTTGTTATTGTGGAGGTGATTTTTTAAAGCTTTTCCATTTTATGTTAAGTTACCTTACTTGAGCAGAAGTATGCTGTTTGAGTATAAGAGTATATGTACTGTCACATACCCCAGTATACCATGATCATTTATGTCCTAGAAGAGACAGTGACAGAATTAGTGTGACCCAGACTTGACTTTCTAGGGAAGTGGTCCAACTTCTCTTCAGAATTACCTGTTAAGTTTTAAAAATGTGGACCTCAACATGGAGCTACTGCCTGAAAATTTCCAGGAGTTCATTTCATAATCTATACTATTTTTAAAAACCTGTTAATGAATTCTACACATAGTCAAGTTTGGGAATAAGTCTAGGCCTCTAGTTCCCCAGTCTAACCAAAAAGAACAGCTTACATCAGTGTAACTAACTGCATGTTGATACCTTTATCATGTGGCAGAGGATTGTTGCATTTAACAAACGCTCACAGGTGTGTATTGTGTCCCAAGACATTATGATATGCTATGGGAACTTATAGAGATGCATATCAATATAGCTATTACCATTAGTGCCTCCCAAAAGCTTTTGGCTGGCTGGTGTTTATAAGCCTAACATTGTGATGACTTGAGTTTTTCAAAGATCGTCATGCAATTCCTAATTATGGCATTAATACACATAATCTATATTAATGCTTTAAAAATTCTTATTCACGTGTGGTTTTAGGAGCCATACAGGACCTTTGAGTTTCGAGTTGTCTGCTTCTATCTGGGTTCCACCATCTTTCGGATGTTAAATTTGTGTAGCACTTTTTCTTAACAAAGCTGTCATAATCATGCTGCTGGCAAGCTAATACCATGAGGAATTAGCACATTTGGTAGGCTTGGATTCTTTTCCTGTTTATAGTGATTGGAAGAACAACGTTTAAACATCTTTGTTACATACCTGGAGAAGTTGTTTTGTGGTGATGTATTGGCTTTGTATATAGATAACAAATCATTGTTTTGAGATTTCATTATTTGTGGTCTTGGAAGTTCCTGGTTGGCTTTGTGCTATCACGTCACTAGGTGGAGTTGTAGCATTGTTTGGTGGTGTAGCTGAAGCAAGAGGAATCTTGATTTTTCTTCTTTTAACAAAAGTACTTTACAGATATTTGATGAGGTTTATTATATCCTCAGAAAAAACTTGTAAATTTAGTATAATTCTAAATTTTAACTTTCTTTTTTGGGGGTTGAAATTTAATCCTATTTTAATATCTATTTTCATACTGATCAACTATTTAAAATAATTTTTTCTTCTCCTACTGCTATTTCCTTTTTGCCATCTCTCATTATTCATCTTATTAGAGTTATTTTAATATCTCTCTTTTCGATTCTTTAGTTTAATTCTAAAAGTTTAATAAGATAATCAGAACTTTTGCCTTGAGGTCAAATAATAGATAACATTTTCATTGGGTAGCAATATTAGAAAATGAACCAAAATTTATAGTCTGAACAAATCCTAATCTTACCTTCATATTATTTTAAGTTAATGTCAACTTTTAACATACATAAATTCTATAAGGCTTATTTTTTCCCTTTTCTTCCCTTCCTCCTTCCTTCCCTCACCTCTTGAATCTTAAACAAGTGCAATATCTACTCTATACCCATTATTGATGTTGGAAATATAAAAATAGGACTCTGTCTCTAAGGAGCTGTTGCCATGTTGCTCACAGTGCAAATGCACTCATGAAACATTTTAGCATAATTTGATTATCTGATCTTTAGAAATTATAAAGGTGAAACTTTAAAAAAAATCTTGCTCTGGCAAATAGTCTGACAGTTCCTCAAACATTTGAACATAGTCACCATATGATCCAGCAGTGTTCCACTCCTAGGAGCATAGCTCAAATAAATGAAAACGTGTTCACATGAAAACTTGGACAATAACCAAATGCCTATCAACTGATGCATGGATAAAGAAAATATGGTATATTTGTACAATGGAATGTTATTCAGCAATAAAAAAGAATGAAGTACTGACCGTGCTACAACATAGATGACCCTTGAAAACATACTAAGTGAAAGAAGCCAGTCACAAAAGACCACATTTTATGTGAAATGCCCAGGATAGCAATTTTATAGAGACAGATTAGATCCATGGTTGCCTAGGGCTAGGTGGAGGGGAATGATGCTAATGGGTTCGGGGCTTCTTTTTGTAGTGGCAAAAATGTTATAAACTTGATTGTGGTGATGAATGCACAACTCTGCAAATATACTAAAACCACTGAGTTGTAGGTACATTTTAAATGGGTGAATTATATGTTATGAGAATTACATCTTAAGTTTTTAAAGTAAATGAGCCAAAAGTTTAAAATCTATCAAACCAAGGAATATTTATTGACCATCTACAAAGACACTATACGAAGTTCCATGCAAGTTACAAAACAAGTGTTAAAACACAAACCCTGACCTCAGATTGTTTGCAGTTCAAGAGAAAAGACACAGTGCCATGTATTGCAATGCACCTTTGCTTTCTGAATTTGTTCCCCATCTTTTGAGCCTCTTGAATCTCTTCTTCCAGCTTTTTCTGTAGTGGCCCTAATCTCCTTATCCTGTGTCTTTTATTTATTTAATTATTTTTCCTTTCAAAAGCAAATTATTGTTCATTGGACTTTGACAAATATCAGCCCCAAACCATTACCTTTAATTAACTTTAAGGACATTTTAAAGCAATAGTAGTGTCTCCAATAACTTAAATTGTGACTCATGGAAACCCATTCATTCAGTAAATACTTATTGATGGTTCATTTACAAAGAACTCTGGAAAACCATATGACTGTTGGCATTATTATTTTAAAAAGTACAACAAATATCCTTTTGCTACAACTTAGTCAAGTTACATGGTACTCAGAAGTATAGTCTTGAGTTCCTAGATTTTCATGAAAAATACCTTTTAGGAATATTTAAAAGTTAAACAAATGTGTGGTTAGTATGGAGCTAGCTATATTGTCATTAGTTTAGTATGTTGACATTGTTGTGGTCATTAAAACTTTAAGGAAAGAGAGGTTTTGTTTTATCTGTAGCAATTCTATTAAAACCAAAAGGATGGGTTTTTTTAAGTATGCAAAAACATTTTTTTTTTCCGAGTTGGAGTCTCACTCTGTCACCCAGACTGGAGTGCAGTGGCCACTTGACCTGCTGGGCTCCGGCGATCCTTCTGCCTCAGCCTTCCAAGTAGCTGGAACTACAGTCGTGCGCAACCACGCCCGGCTAATTTTTGATTTATTGTAGAGATGAGGTCTTGCCAAGTTGCCCAGGCGGGTCTCGAACCCGCAGGCTCAGAAAATCCACTTACCTCAGCCTTCCAAAGCATGGGATTACAGGCTGAGCCACCGAGCCCGGCTGCAAAAAACATTTTATTTATACTAGATCAATACTTTTGACGTGAAAGGTAGCCACTTTCAATGTCTCAGGAATGCCTAGAATCCAGCAGTTTTCAGAAAGACTAGTCAACAATTATTTCACTATAGGTACACGAAATAATTTCAGAATGAACTTTTTAAATGGCTTTGCCTATGGCAAATTATTTTATAAGCTTGAATATGTGATAACTTTGCTTTCCCAGGAAATGAATGCAATCCAACTATGTTCCAAGAGTATTATACCAGTTTATACAACAAATAAGAGAATCACCTATGTGCATCAGCTGTGCTCAAATGAGAATTCTTTTTATCAAAATATTCATTTTTCAAAAAGGCCTCACATTAACCCCTCAAGCCAATTGCCCCTTCTTTCTATGTCCAGCACTCTTTTCTACTTTAAGTAACATGGCTATATAGACAATTGTCAAATTCCAGTGGAACTGTATACCGTCTTAAGACTACGTAATAATATCAAACACAAGTATAGTCACTGACTTTAAGGGATAAGGTAATAATTAACCAATAACAATTTAACCAATGTCATTTTCAGTTTAGAGGGAAAAAAGTAGCCCCCAAGTGTCCTTCACTTTTCAATATTTCTCTGTAACATACAAAATGAAAAGATATCCTCTAAAAATAAAATCATTAGAAAATACCTTAAATGAAATGTTCTATTGTTTCAGATTAAAACAATATTTTCATCTGTATTTCAATTTGGGAAAAATTTCACAATTATTAGTTCTTCTCAGTTACATTTCTTTTTGAGCATTTAAATCTATTATACACTGGTTTGTAAAATTCACCTTGGTTGCCACTCCCCATGCTTCTTTCCTTAGGTAAGTCCATTATAAGCATATAAATGCTGGCAAAGCTTAAATAGCACTTAAAGAATATTCATGAGAGCTCTGAAATGTAAAGGCTGTTTTTTTAAATGGGGTAATTGAGTAATTTAATTAAATCATAAATTTAGACAGTTTGTTTCATATATATGTTATCAATGCAGCAACTAAACTTGTGTCTTTCTTTGCAGATGCATATGAAACAGCCAAGATGCTTTGTGAGCAGTATTACCTGGTAGCTCCAGAGCTAGAAGTTGAAGAATTCAATGGTAAAAGAAAAATAATTTTAACCTTAAATACAAAGGAGCTGACTAAAAAACTGATTATACCTGATCCGTATTTCAGTGAGATCCTAAAATTATATTGCATTTTTACATTTTATATCTTTTACAAACTTTGTCTATTCCTTTGTTCACCAAGTATATTGCTTTAAGCATTTTTTTGACAGGATATATAATGTATTAGACCCCAAAGTTCCTGGAGCAGAGGTAATCAAGGCAGAAGATGCACAAAGGTCTAAATAGGCAGTTCTCAAAACAGTAAATGCAAGCAGTCACTAAACATGTAGAAAAGTATTTAACTTCACTAATCAAAGAAGTGTAAGCCAAAACATGGATAAATACTATTTTTTTGTCTTGCAAAACGACAAAGATAAAACATTTTAACGCTTTGAATTTGTGTCCAGAAAAATACTCTCCTACCAACACATACATTTCTGTGTAAGTTTAAATTGATATAGCCTTCCTCAAAAATACAATGTTCTTTCTCTTTGGCTCAGTAAATAAGTTAATAATGGTCATATTCTTTGGTCCAGTAAGTTAAACTTCAGGACACTCATTATAAGAAAATAGAGATATGCACAGATTTATGTATAAGAATGATAATCATAGTAGTTTTCTTATAGAGAAAAGCTGGAAAACAACCCAAGTTTTCCATGATAGAGGATTGTTTAAATAAATTGTGGCCTACCATAAGGTAGCATAACCTACAGCCATTCAAAATTACGCTTTAAAAGAAAAACGTATGGGAAAAAATGAGATTTAAAAAAAATACAGGCAATAAAAGTTTATAATAGTGCAAGTTCATTAGAAAGTATTTTGAAGGATTTATATTACCAAAATACAGACAGCAGCCCTCTGGATAGTGGGGTTGTAGCTGAGTTTTTTATTAGTCATATGAGTCTATATTTATGTGTTACTTTTATTTTTTGTTTATAAATGACAAATGAGACATGTGCATAGTAAAAATACAAATATAGAAATGTGAGTAAAAAGTGAAAGCTACTGCTGCTGTCTCAGTCCCAGACCGAGCTTTGGTTTTTGCATATATAGGGTTGAAACTGTATGTTTTATAACTTGTGTTTTTCACTTTACCTTGAAGATCTTTGCATGTATTAATCTCACTTCAAGATTTTTCATAGTGTAGTTTACCATAATTTAATCAACCATTTTCCTATGGGTGTACATTTCCAATTTTTTATATTCCATATAATGAGATATGAAGGAGTGTGTGTGTGTGTGTGTGTGTGTGTAGGGTGGAAAAATTTGTGAACGTGTAGAAGTATTTCTGTAGGTTAGATTCTTAGATGCTTAGATGTAGAATGACTGAGTTTTAGGGTATGGGCATTTACAATGAAAGATAAGCCAAATTCTCTCTCAAAAATACATCAGAAATGTATTTCTCTCTCTCTTTTTTTGTTTTTTTTTTTTTTTTTGAGTTGGAGTCTCACTCTGTCACCCAGACTGGAGT